GCCCACCTTACAAAGAGAAACAATCAATGATAGCAGACCCAAAGATGGCTTAGATTAGTTGTTGGGGTTATCAGAAAGAGACATTTTAGAATAACTGTGATTTAAAAATGCTAAATTGAGTGGCCCCTGTGGCTCAAAGGAGTAGGGCATTGGCCCCATGTGCTGGAGGTGGCGGGTTCAAACCCAGCCCTGGCCAAAAACTACAAAAAAAAAAAAAAGCTAAATTATTGGCTTGGCGCCCATAACACAGTGGTTATGGCACCGGCCACATACACTGAGGCTGGCAGGTTCAAACCTGGCCTGGTCCAGCTAAAACAACAATGACAACTACAACAAAAAATAGCTGGGTGTTGTGGCAGACGCATGTAGTCCTAGCTACTTGGGAGGCTGAGGCAAGAGAATCGCTTGAGCCAAGAGTTGGAGGTTACTGTGAGCTGTGACGCCGCGGCACTCTACTGAGGGTGACATAGTGAGACTCTGTCTCAAAAGAAAAAATGTGGTGGGTGGCGCCTATGGCTCAGTGAGTAGGGCGCTGGCCCCATATACCAAGGGTGGTGGGTTTAAGCCCTGCCCTGGCTAAACTGCAACAAAAAAATAGCTGGTGATGTGGCAGGAACATGTAGTCCCAGCTACTCGAGAGGCTGAGGCAAGAGAATTGCCTACGCCCAAGAGCTAGAAGTTGCTGTGAGCTGTGATGTCATGGTACTCTATGGAGGGCAATAAAGGGAGACTCTGTCTCTAAAACAAACAAACAAAAAAATGCTAAATTATCTCATAGAAAAAAGGTGGCTTCCATATGTTGAAGAGAGAGAGGAGTTTCTTTTGGAACGTGAAATTTGTTTTAAGTCAAGTGGTAGAGACAAAGATATAAGAAAACTGAAAACCAGTATTCCTTATGAATACAGCTGCGACAGTCCTTAACAAAATACTACCAACCAAATCCAATAGCACATTATAAGAATCATACACCATAACCAAATGGGATTTATCCCAGGAAGGCAAGAGTGGTTCAATATATAAAAATCAACCTATATAATATGCAGCATAAATAGAATGAAGAAGAAAAAACCTAGTTATCTCAGATGACACTGAAAAACAACACGGTTTAAAAAACAAGTATTCATCAAATTAAGGGTAGAAATGATCTTAATGATCAAGAACATGTATGAAAAACCCACAACTTAATGTATTTAATGGTGGAAGACTGAAAGCTTTCCCCCTAAGCTCAGGAATAAAACAAAGATGCTTTTCACCACTGTTTTTCAACAGTATGCTGAAAGTCCTAGCCAGCTTAGTAAGCCAATAGAAAATAAATTAAAAGCATAAAAATTGAAAATAAAAAGGTGAAACCATTTCTATTCATAGATGACATGATTCCATACATAGAAAATCCCAAATCATCTTCAAGATAGTACTAATATAGACAAATTTGGCAAAGTTTTAGAATAGAAAATGAACACAAATCAGTTGTGTTTCTATATACTAGCAATGAACAGTCCAAAGGGGAAATTAATAAGTAATTCCATGTATAATAGCATCAAAAACATTTAAATACTTAGGAATGAATATAACCAATGGGGTATTAAGATTTGTATGCTGAAAACTACAAAAATCCCAAGAATGGGAAGACATCATCTTTAAAGAGATCTGTACTCCTGACAGTATGTACTGATTCAATACAAAATTCCAATAGCCATTTTTGCAGAAATGGAAAAGGAAATCCTCAAGTTCATATGGAATTCCATGGGACCTTGAATAGCCAAAAAATTCCTGGAAAAGAAAAAGTTGAGTAATTCATGCTTCCTAATTTTGAAATTTGCCATAAAGCTACAGTAGTTAAAAAACAGTATGGTGGGTGGCACCTCTGGCTCAAAGGAGTAGGGCGCAAGCCCCACATATTGGAGGTGGCAGGTTCAGACCCAGCCGTGGCCAAAAAAAAAAAACAACAAAAAAACAGTATGGTTCTGGTATGAAGATGGACCAGTGGAATAGAATAGCTAGGCCAGAAATAAACCCTCATGTGTAAGGTCAAATAATTTTCAGCAAGGGTACCAAGATCATTTAATAGAGAAAAACTAGTCTTCTCAACAAATGGTACTAGGAAAACTGGACATCCACATACAAAAGAATGAAATTGGACTCTTACCTTATAAATACAAATTGACTCAAAATGGATCAGAGACCTAAATTTAAGAGCTAAAACTATAAAGCTCTTCAAAGAAAACATTGAGGAAAATTATCTCAGTGTATTCAGCAAAGATTTTACCCAAATGACACCAAAATCATAAGCAACAGAAAAAGACAAATTTGACTTCATCAAAATTAAGAACTTTTGTGTATCAAAGGATACTACCGAGAACATAAAAAGACAACATGCAGAATGGGGGAAAATATTTGTAAATCATATACCTGAGAAGGGATTAGTATTAAGGAATTCTAAAATTCAACAAAACGCACACACATACACACTCTCACTGCCAAGCAGTGTTGAATTTGTTTTTGTTTAAGCAGACGGTTGGAGAGGAAAACTGGAAAACCTATGTTTGTGATTGGTGGCAGCTTAAAATCTCATTTCATTTGTTTTAGTCTTCGTTATGCTACTTGGAGTCTGTCCTATTTGATCATGGTTCAGAGATTAGCCAAAAGTTTGGGCAGAGTTAATGTGTATAGTTTGGAGCTCCCCTTCTCTGACTATTTCCTTTCTGGGATTTACCTCTTACTCTTCAGAGGGTTGTGGTTGTCTCAGACTCTGTACTCAGTTCTCCAGATCCCTCAATTCAGACTGTAGGTTTTTTTTACAGAAGTTTCGGTTCCGCTATAAGGTATGGATTGTGGTTTTCCCTCAGTTTAAGAAAACATAAAAACAGAAAACACAGCTTGTGTTATTCCCTTCTCATATGCATCAAATTCTCAGTATCTGGTTATTTTTTATCATTCTGCATGCTTTCAAGTCATTCTTTACGTTTGTTCCGGTTTATATTTGTTATCTGCAGGAAGATGGGTCAAATAGGTTCTACTCAGCCTTCTAAATCCTCCAAAGTGCTATCTGTATATATCTTTAGGCTCTACTTCTTTTAATTGCCTCCATTCTGTGGTGGCTGTTTTTGCCTCAGCAGTTCCTGGTCATCCCCTACGTCAATCTCATCAGTCCCATGTAATCATCTTAACATACCAATAGTGAAAGGTAGGTACCAAAGAATGTTGAGTAGCTTGGGTGTGTTAAATGAGTTGAAATTCTAAGTTTGTAACATATGAAATAGAATTTTTCGGATTCTATCTACTAAAGGTACTTCTGATTTTAATAGCCTGTTCAGGACCTTCGCATAGCGAAGTCTTTAGGTCTATTCTGAGTTAATGTTGCCTAGGGTACAGAATCAGCATTTTCGTGTTGTGTATAGCAAAGAAAGAAGGCCTTGCAAAATTTTTGTTGATCCAGATATGTACTCCTCAAAATCTAAAAACGAAAACCCTGCGTGCTTTGTGTAACATATTCCAGAGTTCTATCTTACTTGCTTTTTCATCATTTTTGAAATAACATTTTATGTATCAATAATAGTACATGATACAGGCTCAGAACCCGTGGCACAGTGGTTATGGTGCCAGCCATAGACACTGAGGCTGGTGGGTTCGAGCCTGGCCTGGGACAATTAATCAACAATGATAACTGCAACAAAAAATAGCCGTGCAAAAAATAGTGTGGTAGGCACTTGTACTCCCAGCTACTTGGGAGGCTGAGGCAAGAGAATCAGTTAAGCCCAAGAGTTTGAGATTGCTGTGAGCTGTGACGCCATAGCACTCTACCGAGGGTGACATAGTAAGACTCTGTCTCAAAAAAAAAATAGAAATAAAATAAATAAATAATAGTACATCATACAGATATGATAAACTTAACTATTGTAAGCTTATTGTAAAATGCATGGATAATGAATTGTGCTTTTTCTGTGTTTGTTTTCTTAATTAGCTCCTGGGCTACAGTGAAAAGCCAATAAATTTGCAGATGTTTATTGGAACAGCAGATGATCGATATTTACGACCTCATGCATTTTATCAGGTGCATCGAATCACTGGGAAGACAGTTGCTACTGCAAGCCAAGAGATAATAATTGCCAGCACAAAAGTTCTGGAAATTCCACTTCTTCCTGAAAATAATATGTCAGCCAGGTATCTTGAAACATACCCTAAAATGGGCAGTTCTTTCTTTTCCCTGAAATACCTTTCAGAAAATGTATATTTTTTTAAGTATTAACATAAAATACACATTGCTCTAAGTTAACTAAATGATATCATATAAATAAATTTACATTCCCTAAGGGTGTTAGCATATTTCCAGGAAAAGAATTCAATTCCATAAATGTTAATAGACTGTACACAAGCATCATCCAAGGTGATAAGGATAAAAACACTGTATATGAATATTAAGTTGCTCGCCATATAATAGGGTAGGGTAGACCATAAATAAAAAGATGCAGTGGCTCGGTGCCTGTGGCTCAAGTGGCTAAGGTGCCAGCCACATACACCTAAGGTGGCGGGTTCGAATCCAGCCCGGGCCCGCCAAACAACAATGATGGCTGCAACCAAAAAATAGCCAGGCGTTGTGGTGGGCGCCTGTGGTCCCAGCTATTTGGGAGGCGGAGGCAGGAGACTCACTTGAGCCCAGGAGTTGGAGGTTGTTGTGAGCTGTGATGCCACGGCACTCTACCCAGGGGGACAGCTTGAGGCTCTGTCTCAAAAAAAAAAAAAAGATGCAGTGTAGTTATGATTGTTAAGTTTCTTTAAGGAAATTGTGTTTTTCTCTTTTGAGGCAGAATCTTTCTCTTATTGCAGTTGTTTAGTTGGCCCGGGCCAGAGTTGAACCCGCCACCCTTGGTATATGTGGCTGGTACCATAACCACTGTGCTTCAGGCGCCAGACCTATGTAGACCTTTCTTAAAGTGGCAATAACATCCATCCCAGGCTATTGCAATAATAGTTCTATAAAAATTAGATTTGTTCTTTAGCTAATTTATTATTAAATTTATATTCAAATAACATTTTATTATTTTTATTTATTTTGGTTTTTTTGAGACAGAGTTTTACTTTGTTGCTCTGGGTAGAGTGCTGTGGCATCGTAGGTCTTGGGCTCAAGTAATGCCCTTGCATCAGCCTCCTGAGTAGCTGGGACTATAGATGTCTTCACAATGCACAGCTATCAAATAATATTTTAGATAAACCAATTATACACTGGAGGACACAAACTGGTGATTCAGTTCTGCTATAATGAAATAAGAATCGCCTCAAGAAAAACTTACTCTGTTAACTACTTACTGCAAGAAAAGTTGGTATAAATTTAAATAAAATCTTTTACTTGCCTACTTTGATTTAAATAGACAATACACAAAAACCCAGTTCAGAAAATCATTACAGCGGGGCTACTACAGAGTTCTTTCATGGCAAAGGCTGACAGTTCATAATCTCTACTCTTAAATTTTGGTGTTCTGTAATATAGAAAGAACTTTAGAGTATCAGCCAGTACTTGTTCAGATACTTGAGCAAAACTCCTTCTTGAGGAACATTTTGACTTCAGGCATCCTGTTTGACACATTTTCAAATAAGGTGAGATGGGATAACCTCTGAATGAAAATGCACGTAGCCTTCTTCCTTTTACTCTAGGAGCTCGTTTTTCCACATAGCATCAGGAGCATAAGATAAATGATTAGTCAGCTATGGAGAGAGATTTAAAACTGAGATTTGAACTATCCTTTTCTAAGACCTCAAAAAATTGATCCCTACAGAATAATTTGTAGGTTATGTTTCCATTTATTCCTATGGATATTCAAAGCATTACACTTCAATCAAATAGGAAACCACTAGAAGCTTATTATAAGATTTCTCAATTTTGTTTGAGGGGTAGTGTAAGAAATAGCCACATGAATACCTTTTCATACTCTCAAAAACCACTGTTAAGGACACTTTTTCTTAGGTTGATCATTATTACACATAGTCTTTTCAACTTAAAGGGAAAAAGTTGGTGTTTTTGATGACCTGGTAGATTTTGCTTTACCAGACAAGCAGAGATGTATAGAAACTTTGAACGAATATTTGCTTCTTGCATTGCTTCTAGGATGTTCACAGTCAAGCTCAATTTATATTAATTATAATAATTCATATACATGAAGGTAAGTGAGCAAAGCTTCATCTATATTTACAGCTGCTCCACATTGCTTGCATCACTGAGCCTTAACTCTTGTCAGATAAGCAGCAGCATTAGATTCTCATAGAATTGTGAACCCTGGCTCGGCACCTGTGGCTCTAGTGGCTAAGGTGCTAGCCACATACACCTGAGCTGGCAGGTTCGAATCCAGCCTGGGCCCACCAAACAACAATGATGGCTACAACCAAAAATGTAGCTGGGCGTTGTGGCAGGTGCCTGTATTCCCAGCTACTTGGGAGGCGGAGGCAGGAGACACGCTTGAGCCTATGAGTTGGAGGTTGCTGTGAGCTGTGATGCCACGGCACTCTACCCAGGGGGACAGCTTGAGGCTCTGTCTCAAAAAAAAAAAAAATTGTGAAACCTTCTTTAAACTGCATATGCAGGGGATCTAGATTATATGCTCCTTATGAGAATCTCAAAAATACATACATATACATAGTTATAGTTTTAAACAGAATTTAATACTTATTTTCGTTGTTGCTTATGAGATTTTTGTTGTTTGGCATTTTTGTTTTCATTTCTTAGTTTATTTATTTATTTTTTTGGTTGAAACAGAGTCTCACTATGTCACCCTTGGTAGAGTGCTGTGGCATCACAACTCACAGCAACCTCAAGCTCTTGGGCTTAAGCAATTCTCTTGCCTCAGCTTCCCAAATAGCTGGTGCCATAGGCACCTGCCACGATGCCCAGCTATTTTTTTTGTTGCAGTTGTCATTGTTGCTTAGCTGGCCCAGGCCAGATTCAAACCCATCAGCCTCCATGTATGTGGCTAGTACTGTAACCACTGTGCTATGGGTGCTGAACCTTATTTATTTATAGACAGAGTCTCACTATGCTGCCCTCAGTAGAGTGCTGCGGCATCACAGCTCACAGCAACCTCAAACTCTTGGCCTCAAGTGATTCTCTTGCCTCAGCCTACCAAGTAGCTGGGACACAGATGCTCGCTGCAATGCCCGGCTATTTTTTGGGTGTAGTTATCATTGTTGTTTAGCAGGCCTGGGCCAGGCTCAAACCCTCAGTGTCTGTGGCTGGCGCCCTACTCACTGAGCCACGGGTGTTAAGCCCCAAATTGTTTTTTTGGGTTTTTTGTGTGAAATTTATTTCGTGTCTTTATGAAGATGAAAATATTAAGTGGCTTAAAAATTCCTTTTGGGGCTCGGTGCCTGTGGCTCAAGTGGCTAAGGCACCAGCCACATACACCTAAGGTGGCAGGTTCAAATCCAGCCTGGGCCCGCCAAACAACAATGATGGCTGCAACCAAAAAA